TGATTTTTCAGTGTTGAATTAATTATTTTAAATATTCCTGGGTAAAAGAGCAGCTTATACTTGTGTTTTGTCTGTATTAATATGCTATAATTATGTTACTAAATATTACTGACAATTTTGCTTCGTCATCATCATACATGGCAATATAAAAATCATACTAAATTATGCAGCCTGCCATTGAATCCTTTCAGAATTGTCATTTGTATAAATGCCATTTATCTATTGATATGTAATTCTCAATTTGTTTCAAAAAGTAACATGATGCAGTTTATTGTGTTTTGTCTTTTTGCAGAGATTTTCTGGTTTTCAGTGTTCAATAATAAGTACAATGAAAACTATAATAGTAAAATATGCTGATTAAAGAAAATAATACTGTGGTTTCCAAGTACTTTGTATATAGATATTTTCAAGGAAATATTGTACTGGTTAATAAAATATAGTTCCATAACAAGTCATTTAACACAAGAAAATTTACCATACTAATAAGAGAAATAAGTTAACAACATCACTTGATTATTTTATTGATCTTGTTGTATTGATGATAAGAAGATCAAATCAATCATCTGGTTTAAATTTCTTTGTGACGCTATATGGTTAAATTAAAATTTTGATGTGGGGCATTCCAGGCCAAGTGGTTAAGGTCGTTAACCACTTGCCCCTCGCATCTGTGGGTTTGAATTCTGACAGGGACTATGAATTCTTTTATGTGAGGAAGCCTATCCAGCTAGCTTACGGAACGTCTGTGGTTCTACTCAGATGCCTGTTTGTGCCTGAAATAATGCACAGAAGGGCATCTGAGGTCTTCCTCATCCAATAAAGCTGGAACATCGCCATATGACCTTTACTGTATTGGTGTGATGTAAAACCCAAAACAAACGAATAAAATCTTGTTAATTTAGATGTGTATTTTCCCCTTCAGGAGCAGAAAGCTAAAGCCAAATCTGCAACACCACCTAGTGATGAACGTGAAGATGAAGTGTCTATAACTCCACCTCATCCTATTGCCAAAAGAAGTCGCCGTGGTGCAGTTAGTGCTGAGGTTTACAAAGAGGAAGATGCAGCTCAATATGTTAAAAAGGTAACACCACTCTGATGTCCTAATCATGCATACTGTAAGGTATTAGCCGAGTGACTGATGTCCATCTGACTTGTATACTGTAAGGTATTCAACAATTGGCACTGATGTCCTTAAATATCATGCATATTTTAGGGTATTAGCACTGATGTTCTTACCTCGCGTATGGTAAGACAAGAACAGTGTCACTCTTAAAAACAGCTAGGTAAAAAAGACATCTGATAAAATGCTGTCAGCATACTCTTAAAGCACTGCTGTAACTAGTAACAATTAGCATACAGAAAAGGTCACTGCACTAATTTCATCATGTCAGCAGTACTGTTAAAGAAACCAGCACTAAAATCATACAGTCAACAATAATTTAAGGTTTCATATTGTAAGATACCTGAGCACTAAAAGTATTTAGTCATGAACACTGTAAGAGTACCAACACTTAAGTTATTTTGTCAGAAATACTTTAAAATACAAACACTAAAATGACATAGAAATTACAGTCTTAAATCATATAGTCAGCAATACTGTAAGATACCAGCACTTAGATTATAAAGTAAGTAAAGCTGAAAGGATTTTGATATCAAATGAAAAATAAAGTTTTCAATTTGGTTAACAAGCTTTAAGTAGTAGAGAAATTGCCAAACAAATTTTTATTGCTTGAAAAAGCTTCAGAGTAAAAGGACTAGAAATGATCGATTGCAATGATATAAATAGAATAATTTTTATCTTAGATTAGCGCAAACTTCAGATCTGTTGTTACTTAAGAGCACGTTTTGTTTTTGTTTACAATTTCGATCCAAGATCTTGGCTTTTACTAGAATACATTGATTGAAGTGTCCCTGGTGTGCTTACATTTTCTGTGAGACACTCTCATTACCTAACCTATAGTTTGTCTTATATAGCATTAAAACAACAAACTCTTCATAGCATGAATTTGTCTGTATGTGGGTGTAACAGTACATCATAAAGTTTATTGGTTAACAGTACATAATCAGTAATGTAAGGGAAATTGGTAACAGTACATTTTGTAACACTTAATATTTTTAAGGGATATTTTTCAGGGAAATGGGATATCAGAACATAATGTAAGAAAAAGACACTGTACATTTTGTTAGGGAAATGGGTAACAGTGCATTGATCATTAGGGAAATGGGTAACTGTACATTTTGTAAGGAAAATTGGTAACAGTACATTTTGTAAAGGAAATGGGTAACAGTACATTTTGTAAAGAAAATGGGTAACAGTACATTTTGTAAAGAAAATGGGTAACAGTTAATATTTTTAAGGAAAATCTTAATCATAACAATACATAATGTAAAAAAAAATGGTAACAGTATATAAATAACACATGTCTGTGAATAGCATTAAAAATATCATCCCAAGGAAAATACTGTTATAACGTCTGGGGTAATAGTATATTTACTAGGGAGTTTTTTTTTGCTGTTACTCACCTTACAAACCTTTTATTACCCGAACTAATATTTCATTGGGGCACTGTTTCTATGGGATTTTATTTTTCATATTTTTACTGTTATCAGATTCTATGTAACAGTACATTTTTTTAATCACATGGTACACTTAAATTACCAGTCACATAATGGCCGATGGGAAATTAACATCACAAAAATAGTGATTGGTAATAATGCTTAATGTTAGGGAAATGGACAAACTTGTCAGAGTGTGAACATAAATTTATTAATGTAAATGACATTTTGTGAAACAAATTTGTTGTCATACGTGGCCATGATTTTTATGGGCAAAAATATTTCTTTCTTCCTTAATCTAGAAGAATTGTATTGAGCATAGGGGAATAGTTTAATTGAGGATTTATTGCAGGAAAATGTAAATCTCTGTTATTGATTGATGGGTTGGTTAATATTATTTCCAATTTGAAAATGCTATTACAAAGATTCCGAGAATTCTTTGATTTAATAAAAACCATTGGCTGTAACACACTATTCCTGAGAGAGGCAGGTTTGCACTGAATCAATATAAAATCTTGTAAAATAATGTTGTTTCCTGTCCCAACAATAATCTAAGGTTACTGTATATAAGGTCAGATGGATTATATGATCTACAATCAGACTTGTGACAATTTACAAGTGTATTTGTAATAGAAAGAGCATTGAAACACAGGCTATCTGATATGTGGAGGGGGTGTTAAGCCCCCAGTAGAGGGGGTGTGAAGCCCCCTGTAGAGGGGGTGTAGCCCCCCTAGTATAAATCAGATTGCCATGTGTTTTGATGTTCTTTCTCTTTTGTATCGTATAAAAAATCAAAACACATTCCCTGTAACGTCTTAGTATGAAAGGGCAGAAAAAAGTAACAAATGAACAGGCATCTGAATATAATATATCGCCTAATACATTCTCTTTCGTCACAATAAGTAAACCCCAGAAAAAATGAGCATCTGCGCTACAAACCATTTACAGGCATGTCCTGAGAAAAGTTTCAGAAATTCTAGTGAAAGGAAATCCATTTGATTTGAAAATATAACATATTTTACATAGTTCAATCCGGGGGTGCATACTTAAAACAGAAAAATATGAGAAAGAAAAAAAGTATTATAACCCAGAATTAAATTGTAAATCAATATTGAGAGTGATTCTAAAATCTGATAAAAAGGAGATCCCCGAAAAAAAATGAAAGAAAGAAATTTACATAAATATTGCTTTTAAGCCTGATTTGTCAGTTACATGCATCCAAACTTTCATTTTCTGGTGATTTTGAACAATAAAAATGATTGATTATTCTGGAAAACCAGGGTGAGCAGATTAAATGATCTGCAATTTTGCACACAAGTTAGTGGAAATAGTATAAACATCTAAAATACATATTTTCAGTCCTCACAGTCATGTCAAAATAAAAAGGGGAGTTCCTTTAAAGATTAAACCTTATTTCAGATGAAGGAGATGTGAAAAATCAATTAACTATATAACAGTATGTGATTAGATCATACTCTAACTTCTTATATTTACTCTGTAGGCAAAGTAACAGTCAAATATCACAGAATGATAGATTTTTATGTGAATGTTTTATTTGTCCAGACCTGATATATTGGTTTTCTAGTGTTTGTTATTCAGCCTAAATATTCTATCATTTCCTTTGATTGGATGTGAATGCCTGTCCTATTTGATCTAATGGCCGACCAGTAGCCTCTTGCTACAAGACTTGTCAATTCTTCCAGAAGTCCAATCTATAACTTGTCGGTTAATATAAGATTAAAGGAGACCAGGCTTTATTAACCAGGAAACAGTTTGAAGTTATATACTCATCAACAGTATAGTAATTATATCTTTACCTACCAGCATCTACCAAATTATCTGATGATCTGATAGAAAAAATAACCTCCCAGAAATCATAAAAGTAGGAAAGTTATGTATGTAGGTAAACTTTTAAGCTGCAATTCTTGTAATGTATGCTCTTTATAGCAGAAGAAATTTTAAAGATTAAATGGGAAGAAATATCTTCCTAATGTGTAAATATTTGCAGAAATTGTTTTGTATTTTACAGATTTTCATTATAGAAGCATTAATCTTAAGATTTTTTAACTTAATGATAGGATTAAACCTGTCAATTATTTCTAGTGGCCTTAATGACTTCCCTTATTATACTTTATCAGTGGTGGCTTATCCCTGCCGAATCTGACCAAACTTCACAGTTTAATGCTAAATTCTAGCATTTTTTGCTTTGAAATCATTTAAAATTGATTAAAATAAACAATTCTAAATCATATTATTCATGTACAGTATATGTTTAAGCCTTTAAGCATTTCTCAGCATTGCAATAGAATATCAGTGAAAACAAACAAAAGTCACCAAGAAATGTGGCATTGACAAAAAATCAGCTTAAACTAATGCAATTTATTAATACAGGAATTACTTCATTAAAATTAATTTAATAAAATCCCCCGTGTGACTGAATGGTTGAGGCATCAGAATTGCAGTCACTGTTTATCTTTGTGGGATGTGACAAAATAGGTTTAAATTAAATACTGGAATCTTTGAATCTCTCAACTCAAGCAGGTGAGGTGTTGCTTTTAAGTTTGTAACACCTGAGGTTTGCCAAAATCATTTTTTTCCTGTTTCGGTGCCAAATGACCTAAATTGTGTTGATGCGCTGTAAAGCCTAACAATACAAACTTGAGTAAAATTTATGTTGCATAATGCTTCTTTGTAAATCATAATTATATGATATAAGATTGTACTGTGAAATTTGTGTTACATAGTGGTGCAGCATAACAAAAATTACATTATGGTATATGATAGAAATTTGGTGAAAGTATGATGAGAAGTTAGATAGATATGATGATAGATGATTCTGTATAGATCATGTCCCTGGGGATCACAACATCTGACATTTTATGAACAATTTGTCTGATATATATACTACTGTAAAATGATCAACCTTCCCTGAAACTTTTCTGTGTATGCTATCAAATCTGCCGTAAAAGGGTGTGAACATTCATTCAAGTGATCTCATAATTATTGTAATTTTTTGCATGATAAGAAACTTAATAACAGAAGTAAAGTTTCAGTTTCTATGGGTGAGTTTAAACTGCTGAATTTATTAAATGGACTTTTAATTTGTCCATTTTACACTTTTGGAAATACAATCGAGACTGTCATGTGACTTTCCAAGGAACCTTTAGAAAAAGGTCACATATGACAGAGTCTCTTAATACAGTCGCAAAGTCAAAATCAAATTTTTAAAACTGTCTATAATACTATTGTGACTCAACATACATAATTGTGTGAAGGAAAAATATCTAATCAATTGTATAATATTAATATTGAATCATCATAATGGTAAAAAATGAACTTGAATTTGATGCATTCAAAATCTTAGAATATATTGCAGTAGACTTTGCTTTATACTTGTGACAACTGCCAGATCTGGCAGGTAATGGATTAACAAAATTTTGATGCTATAAATCATGTCTACTTTGTAATTGTTAATATATTGTATTTTCTTTTTTGCTGCAGGTTGTTCCTAAAGACTACAAAACAATGGCTGCACTGTCCAAAGCTATTTCAAAAAATGTCCTGTTTTCCCACTTAGATGACGCAGAAAGGAGGTATGTGATATTTAATGTTGTTTTATTGTGAAGTATGGCTTTTAGATGGTTGTCAAATTAAAAAAACAACCTTGATACCTGAAATAAGAAAGTTATACTAGTCAAGGGTAAAGTATTGGTATATATAGCTAATATAGTTGTGACATTTAATGAAACTTAAACCTAGTGAAAACTCTTTGGCGTCCAAAGCATGTCTAAAGCTAGATTTTGTGATATTTTTTTGTTCTGGGTCAGAATCTAGCTTCTAGAAGTAACATTTTGCCACTTGGAGTTTAAGTTCAATAACAGTTGAACTAAACTGCAAGGTACTACATTAAAGTAAAGCAGTATTTGATAATCTACTCTAAATTCGTGTAGGTCTATAAACATTTAATTCATATAGATATCATCTCTAAACATTTTACATTATTAGGAGCAATCATGAAATAGCTTGAAAACCATTTAAAATAAAACCATGTATAATCCGGAAATGCTTTCAAATTGTTTACATTTTGCAATCTTTTGATAAAGCAGGAAAAACACTTTAATAGCTGAAAGTAAAAAAGACTGAAGAATTTATGTTTTCTTGAAATCTTGTGATCTGGTGAAGGTAATGTATTTGAAATATGCCTGTGAAATCAGTCGTTCACATGGCTGCAGGGACAGGGTGTATATATTTAGAAAGTTTAGATATAGACTATCTTAATGTTTCAAGAAATTAAATTTGTCTGAAGCCTTGAAAACCAATTTTTTGTCAAGATTTTAACAGGAAGCAAACCTCTGATTCTCAATCACTTTTTTTCTGTATCAATTGTGTGTCTGTTTCATTATTAATCAAACTGTTCAGACAGGAAAGTGTTTTGGTATTTTCTTGTTTACAGTTTAATTCCCTTAATTGTTTCACCAAGGTACATCATGTTAATATTACTAAGAATTAAATACAGCTTTGTTTGTAACAACTTATTGTAGGTAAAAATAATTTCTGAAAGTCAATGTTATTGTTTTTTTCAGTGATATTTTCGATGCCATGTTTCCAGTACACAGACACGCAGGGGAGATAATCATTCAGCAAGGTAAAGTAAATCTGTCATACAGATGTAAAACAGTTAAAATATATTATCACTGCAGATGTAGTAAGCAACTAAGCATATTGCCACTGTTCAACATTTTACGTAGAGTTAAGGGCATTGACTTCAAGCAACTTGCCCCTTACCGCTTTTGGTTCAAATCCCAACAGGGACTTTGGATTCTTTCATGTGAGGAAGTTATCCAGCTAGCTTACAGAACGTTGGTGGTTCTACTTAGGTGATCGTTCCTGACTGGAATAATGCACGAAAGGACACCTTCCACCACCAGTAAAGCTGGAAAAGCACCATTACTATGACATACATTGTGTCTGTAAACAATAACCCAACCAAAAAAAAATAGAATAAAGGTAAACCAACCTTTGTTACCAGTTAAAAATTAGGCAGCCATTAAGATTGAACTTGAACTGTTGAAATACAATATACTGTTGAAATACAATATTTTTACAATGAAATCCTTGACTCGGTTATTAGACAGACAAGTAGTTTATTTTACAAATGTGACTAGGTCAGGTTTGAATTCATACTTGTAAATTACTTTTTTAACCTAATATTTTAATCATGAAAATCTAGTTGTGTGAAACAATGATGTTATCAGTGTGTGGATTTTATTTGAGCCGCGTCACGACAAAACCAACATAGTGCTTTTGCGACCAGCATGGATCCAGACCAGCCTGCGCATCCCCGCAGTCTGATCAGGATCCATGCTGTTCGCTATCAGTTTCTCTACTTGTTATAGAGTTTGTAAGCGAACAGCATGGATCCTGATCAGACTGTGCGGATGCGCAGGCTGGTCTGGATCCATGCTGGTCGCAAACCCATTATGTTGGTTTTGTCATGACACGGCTCATTTATGTTATTTGATATTTAGAGATATTGTCTTGAGTGTAGTGACCTGAAAGTTTTTGCTTTGCAAAGAAGGGGGACTTCACTAAACAATTGCATGCTAAATAAGATGTTTTGAATAAAAAATGGTTGGTAGTTAACTGTGTAACTACTATTTGACATAAATTCAGCATCTGTGTTATATTTTAACTGGAACCTTTTACAAAAAGTTCATAGGGCAACAAGGATCATTCATACTCTGTTTCAAACATATTTTTGGGGTACCCTGTATAGTCTTTTGTAATATTAAGTATTAATGTATATCATAAAGCTTTTTCGAAAATTTTGCTAAAATAAAAGTTATTCTTGTATCTAAGGGCAAGTTCTATATAAGTAGTTTGCTGAAATCTGTACTATAGATTTCTTTCAAAACAAAGAAATGTTGCTCTATTATATCCTGCCTGTTGACAACTTGAAGTAAAACTTGTTCATTATGTGAAGGTAATGAGATTGAAACTGTCAGATAATTCCTATTGACTAACATAAATAACAAGCTTTCATGTCACAAAGATGTCACAAACATTTAATCTGACTCAGTAGAAGCTCAGTCTCTTGTAAGTTACAGATTAAATCCATAACATAGATTCTGTTTTAATGCAACATTTATCAAGAAACTGTGGGTAAATAACAAAATCAACACAAATTTCCATTTGAAACAATTTATTCATAATTTCCATTGTAAACAAATATGTTTTGTTCTAGTGTTTGAGAAGTAATGAATTATTTATACAGTTGTCTTTTTGGTTTAGAATAATGAATGTTAGATTATTTGAATGGAGAACAATTCCGGATTGCACAGGCTGTCCCAGGAACAATTTTTGACATGCAAATACTGTTTCAAAGGAAATCAATTAGTCAGATTTAGTCAACACAATTCGTTTATAGCTTTAATTGTACTTTTAATTTTATTATAATTATGTCCTGCTAATTAATTGGTAAAGAAGCAAAACTAAAAAAAAATCATTAGAAAAATTTCTTTGTTCTTTCTGTGTTCTTAAATTTGGTTTTATTCTTTATAATCTTTAACTTGCTGTGTTTCATAAATGGTCTAGTTTTTTTTTTTTTGGAAATGACCATTTCCATTTTGGGTTATCAAAATGAAGTTTTGAAGTTGGTCATCATATGGTATGATTAGAGCCTAGTAGAGACTGCATGGATGTGCAGGCTGATCTGGCTCTATATTGGTTGCAAAAGTTATCACTCGAGTCCGGTGGCATCCAAGGGTGGAGGTGGTTTAAGGTTGTTGATTTCAAGCCACTTGCCCCACACAGTTGTGGGTTCCAATCTTGCCAGGGACTGTAAGCATGTTATTCAACTAGAGTTCAGAACTTCTGTGGTTATACACAGGTGTTTGCTCCTGCCTTAAATAATGCTGAGAGGGAAGTTAGACACCTGAGGTCTACCCTCCACCAATAAAGCTGGAGCATTGCCATATGACCATAACAGTGTTGGTATGACATAATAGTTTAAACCAAACTACAACATCTTTAAGTTCCAGGAGGGTTATTGTTTAAAAAAAAACAACAACAAAAATATACTATAATATTGGTTATGGGGATTTGGACAGTTATATGAATGGCTTTTTCCAGCTGTCAGACTGCAACATTTAAATTTCCAGGAATTAACTTGTATACCCTTTAAGAGTTTTCATGAATCTTTTGCTAAATGTTAACAGTGATAACATAATATGTTTAATGTACCTTACTATAGTTTGAAGGGCATTATTAAAGGTCATTTGTTTAAACCTTCAGGATTTTTGTGTCTGCTCTTATAATAGTTCTTTTACCCCCTTAGAGAATTTTCATACAATTTTGGACAAAAGTGATATACCTTATTAAGATGATTGCAGAACACAAAAAAAAGTATCTAAAACCTTTACCCTTTACAAGATTTTCATGACATATAAGATTAGAGGTCACACAAAGCACAGCTGTTGCAGCTTAAACATACTCCACTGAGGTTTTTTGACATGACAGGACTGAAATTGTTTTTGAAGATTTGTAGGTAGGCATGGACCAGTAACTTGTTTACAAATTTTCTGCTAATTCCTTCGACCCGTTTTTCCAGAATAATCATTTTAATTTTAGAAAGAAACCCAAAAATGAAACCATTGCAATGCTTTTCACTCAAATATCAGCTTAGAATCGCACAAAAAATCTATTTTGATTTCAATGAATATTGGTATATTTCTATGTTATCCTTTGCAGACTTTTTCATTTTAAGTGCTTGACACTTCATTTTTGTAAGATTTTCAAATTTTATGTGTTTATGCCTTTGGACCCAAGTGGAGTTCGTTTAAGGTTAAAGTCAATTTTAAAGTTATTCTCTCCAAAGTTACATTGTATCCTCTCCAAATAACTTTATTAATTATGCCATAGAAAGGATTTTCAGAAAACTTTTGTCAAATGTTTATAGCAATGAGCTACATCAGCTCAAGGTCAACATTGAAGTGAATTGTTTGAGTAGTCAATTTTATGTCAACCTATTTTATAAAAGCTTTGCAAGATTTTCATGTAAATGTTTAACCTAATTAAAGAACATGACTGTGCAGGTAAATTTGTTGATTGAATATTCAACTGTACACTAAGATTAAACCCCTGTCACACTAGGCCAGGGTTCTCACGGTGTCCAAAGAAAATTCAGAACCACAAGGTGAGGACAATAAGATGGCAAGCATCTAACATTACAAAGCCTGTTGAAATTATAAATGAAGTGTATGCTTGCCCATATGGTAATATTTCTGTTGGTGAGGGTAAACAAACCTAAACACTCGCAGCCTAGCAGTATATCATTGGTGGCATGGTTAAGATTTTACTACAGGGTATCCCCATAGAACTTAAGTATGCTACAAGGATTTAAATATATCATTTTGTAAAGTACTCTTCACTTAGGCTACAGATTCTTGAGGAAACCAGTGTCTCATCTTGTAGACTTGTCAGCCATTGAGACCCATTTTGTTCACCCATTTCTCTCTAAAACTTTCTTCTTATTGTATCCTTAATTGACATTAAGTGTTGATGTGACTTGAAACCCTATGCTCAGAGCCCCCATAAGAAAATAAATTGACATTTCAGATTGCCAAAGGAGATGGGGGAGTATTGTAGAGCCTTGATATTTTGTAAATATTAAGTTTCAGATATATATCTGTAAGACTGTAAGTTTAAGTACCAAATGTCTGGTTCTTTTTATGATGTTAAATATTTCCTCAATACAATACAATACAAATACTATATTCAGCTTTGAGCCCTCTGGCCCATGCAAAAACATGAATGTTAGACAAATGGGTGACAATTAAAATCTACTACTTAAATGCCCATTATTTACTCAGAAGGAGGGCCAATGGGTTGGTGGAGGTGGGACAGATTGTTACTGTTGGTAATAAAAGATTAAACGATTATTTTTGATATATTTTTTTTTAATTGGTCTTGACCTGTGTAAAAGTTGGACCAATCTGAATATCTAGTTTTTAGGATATATCAAAATTCGAATACTGTATAAGAAACTAAAGTAGCTATACGCTTTACCCTAGCTTTTTTAGTCTCTGGAATAAACCAGTACATGTACTGAGCAATAAGTTTCAAGTTCTTTGCTCAAGGGAACAATGACTTGCCCCAGACAGTGTTTGAACCCAAGCAACTAGCAATTGGTACAATGCTTTAATAACTCAGCCAGGCTGTCACTTTATATATAGACAGATGTACAGTCTGGTCTATAGTTTTATACTGGTGACAATGTGTCTTATGTTAATACTGCTAGAACATCCTGGGTAAATAAGCGCTGCATAGTATAATGTAGAGTTGGTAACCTAAAATACAAAAAAAGTGAATGAAAGCTTCTTATTTGTTGTGTATTATACATATGATGTGACTTATACATGTAGTAATTTCCCTTGCCTGATAAGAACAATGAAAATGCATTAAATGCAAGCACTGACTTTTGTTTGCCAAGATTTGCTATGGTGTTTCTTCCATGCCAACACTGTAATTAACTAAGATGCCATATCTGTACTATACTAAGTCTTGTAGACATAATTCAGTACATAATGTAATGTATTTTGTCTGCTGATGAATGCACAGATATGTTATCTCATCCGGGTTCATAGGCTAAATGTGACTATTTAAAACTTATGTCAAATTGATTTTGTAAAGGTGATTGATTTATTTAATATTTCCCCATGAGTAAGCATATCCATTATTAAACCATAATTCCAGTGTTAAAGTCAATCAATAGTTAATTCTTGCCATCATCATTGCTGAAAGCAGATTTTAACAGTTACTTGTTAATGATGTTCTTTTGCCAGGAGAAAAAAAGGTAAAAATAATTACGAGTTGGCTTAGATTGCCTTATTCATGGAAAATTGTAATTAAGTTTCAACCTGTGATCATTCTAGAAGATAGAGACAGGTTAAATAAGGCGAGTTAACCACTAACCTGATTAATTTGTGAAATGGATTTGCCCAGCTTTGAATTTAGAACAGTCCATTAAAAAGTTTGATGTTTAAGGTATTTAAATATCAAAGTAGACAAATTTAGGTACCAACGGAATAATGCTTGGTCAGGTGGCATGGATTTGCAGGCTGGACTGGCTTGGTTAGGGCTAATCAATTGCAGTTTCAGCTGTTTGAAATATCACAATGTTATAAAAAGGCTTCTCAATGGTCCAATGATTTGAAATACTAGCCATATATTAAAGACTTTCAAAAATATAAAAAAATATTTTAATTTACCAGATTTCAGTGAGTAAAGTGATGGAAGAATGATTGTTATCTTTCCTATTATATCAAATTGTCTTTGTCATCAAATTGTCATTTGTCAGTTGATGTGTACTGAAATACCAGTTTTCATTAATTTCATTGTCTTAGAAGATTTATACTTTACAAAAACAAGTATGATGTGTATAAAGTCCTATAAATTTTCATTTTAATCAAACCATTATAATATATCAGATCATTTAAGATATAGTAGATCAAACTGTCAGCTATTAGGAACTGTTTAGTATATTGACCAAACTATACCTATAGATAGACATATAGTTAAAAGTTTATTAGCAGTTTAACTCTGTGTAACATTATACTTCAAATCCAACGAACTTGCAAAAGGGACAATATCTAATGTAAATGAGCATTTTCTATTAAAATTTTGTCAGATCAAAATGTTTATTAGTCACCTTACAACAATATCTGTGGTTTGTAAGATTAGAGTATTCATTGACAGCATTATTATAGACTGAATTATAGTTACATATATAGTGCTGGTATACAAGTGTTAATTTACATTAAACAACAAAATACAGCAATTTGACTTATAATAATGCAGTACATTGTGTATATGAATTTAATTACGACAATTTAATCACAATGGTAACCACATTTATTGATGATGATGCTTGTTATACAAGGTTACTTCTTTTTCATCACAACAAAATAGAGGTTTAATTTGTTTATGTGTTTTTGTCAAGTAATCTATTTTAAGCCAAATTGTGACATACAAGCATGACACTGTGACCTAAGTTTAGAGAACTTAATTTAAGAGGACACTTTACAACAAAGATTCTGTTAACCCTTGATTAATTGATGTTTTTGTTTTCGTTTTGTTTTTTGTTAATCATAAAAGCTCACATTTACAAGGCAACCTGACAAGTTATACAGAAGTTGAAACACGTTAATTGTTGTTGTTAATTGTTGTTGTTGTTATTTTCAGGTGATGAAGGAGACAACTTTTATGTCATAGATCAAGGTGAAGTAGATGTAAGTAAACTTACATATTTTATATACATGTATAGTTCTGTCTCATTGATTTTGACATAATTTTGCACTAATTTGAATTTCAAAAAGCCTGCTTGAAGCACCATGCTATCTCATGTAAGTTGTTTTTAAGCTAAAATAAAACACATTTCCAAAAAGTAGATAAGAATGACTAATATTAAACTGGCTCGATCAATTTGAAACAGAGCCATGTTTGGCAAGCATTTTTAAGGTTTCTTTTGGACTATTTTACTTTGATATTTAGTAACAAGTCTGATTTATAAATTAACATAAGTAATCATCCTGTAATCATAAAAGGATTTTTACCTGCATTTAACTTTGTTCAGACCCAATAATTCAATAATATTCTTTTTCCTTTGATGGATTTTCATCAAATTTGGTGTTCAGTGTTGAAACGTATACAATATTGTGTCCAAGTTTAATAATCAATATTATAGACCCTTGAAGTTAAGAGTTAGAGCCCTTTCCATGTTATTATAACTCAACAAAACAACTATGATGTTTTGATCAATTTCCACTATAAACTAGTAAACATGCCAATAAAACGGTTGTAGCACTGATTATTTCAGATACCAGCTGGTATATTAGTAATTTGTTAATAATTGAAATATTTTATGACACAGTTACGTTTTGAACTTGGATTTTATTTGAAATAAACTGTTCTTTTACTGCTGTCATTGTTTTAATTGACTGAACATGCTAATTGTCAAGTTGCATCGTGAGTAAGCCAGTAGATTCTATGCCATTGTAAAACATTATAAATACTATGCACATCTTTCATTAGTCAATGTTTATAAAAAAGCAAGAAAAGTTTTGAGCTCAAGTTGTAAGTTAGTACTTTATTTAATGTAACTAACACATTCGGTTTCCAAATCTTCCATGTGGGCCTCAGCAGTTGAGCTATTCTACAGTAAATTCTCTTTATTAAGACCACTAACGGGACTGACTCAAAGTGGTCTTAATAGTGATCTGGTCTTAATAGTGAATAGGTCACTTTAACAGATGACGAAGTCCAACTTAACTTAATGTATACCTTGTATAGTTTTATGCACATAGTAAATGTACTTAATTATTAAACGAGTAAAAAGAAACACATATTTTTTTAAAACAAAAAACATTTTAAATGTACGATAATATGATAAATCATTAATATAATGAAAATATTAATTTACGGCTAGTGTTTCAAGTTTCCCCTTTAGAAGAAAAAATATGAGGTATTAATATAGTTATGACTCTCATTATGATTTATACATTAATTACATATCGAAATAAAGCACACATGAACTGATAATTTGGTGTAATTAGCAATTTTTACCATACTTGCTATAAATTGTGATGCACAACAAACAATTTTAGATGCTATTCACCTGGCTATTACATCCTAATTACGCCGACAAATTAATCGTTTCTCACACCATAGCTGCTTAGATTAATTCGCCAGAAGTGGTTTAAACTGATCATGTTGACGCTTGAATGCTAAAGATAAATTGTAAAGCAAGCGTCTAATCAATCGATATATATTAATGACCTCATTTGACCCGGTGTATTTGTTTACGCCAGAGGGAAGATTACGACAATTAATTGGGGGCAATAAACACCAAGTGATGTCTGGCCATTATGTTGCATGGTCGTAATACAGGTTAATGTTTTGATAAGGAATACACACAAATGTCTGACAGAAGTGGTCGTTATGCCGGATTAGAGACGTGGTCGTTATACTGGTCATTTTTCTCAATGAATAAAGAAGGCAAATATTTTGTACTCTAAAAAAGTGCCCGTAATAGTGGCGTGGTCCTATTTGTGGCGTGGTCGTTAGGTGGCATTTTACTGTATTTCCTTTTTTGCAAAACATCAACTTGAGCTAAAATATCATTGCATGTGAGAATATCGTAATAGCTTCAATTGATTAATTGTATTAACTTTCACAAGCATCCAGACTTATCAATACTTTACCAGGCTGATAGTTACATATTACCATGGCAGTGATTGTAAAATTCAATTACTTGGGTTATACCCGAGAGATTCTTGTCAAAGATATCCAAGATTTTATTAAGCATATTGAAAGTTTATACATCACTACAATGAGGTGCAATCACCATTTGCCAGCATATAAAACAGCCAATCTAATGATTTTAATATCTTTATTGACCTTGTGAGTTTGATTCCAAGGAAAAGTCTTTAGAAAATTGTTTCAAATGCAAATAGTAAAGTAAACATTCTCTAATCTTTCATAAATAAACTCTCATGAAATCTTAAATAAACAAACTCTTATGAAATCTTGAATGAACAAACTCTAATGTCATCTTGAATGAACAAACTCTTATGTCATCTTGAATGAACAAACTTATGTCATCTCGAATGAACAAACTCTTATGTCATCGCGAATGAACAAACTCTTATGTCATCTCGAATGAACAAACTCTTATGTCATCTCGAATGAACAAACTCTTATGTCATCTCGAATGAACAAACTCTTATGTCATCTAGAATTCTCGAATGAACAAACTTATGTCATCTCGAATGAACAAACTCTTATGTCATCTCGAATGAACAAACTCTTATGTTATCTCGAATGAACAAACTCTTATGTCATCTCGAATGAACAAAGTCTTATGTCATCTCGAATGAACAAACTCTTATGTCGTCTCGAATGAACAAACTCTTATGTCATCTCATATGAACAAACTCTTATGTCATCTCGAATGAACAAACTTATGTCATCTCGAATGAACAAACTCTTATGAACAAATGTATGAAATCCCAAATGAACAGTCTTTTTTTTCTAAAGGGAATGCTTGATTGTGAAGAAGCCATTAAAGTACAGTTTATTATTGATAATAAATATACATTTGAGTGTGAAATGGTTAGCCTGTTGAACTGGTAATCTAAGGAATGCTGGTTGTGTGTGTTCAAACCATGTCAAGGGCAAGCCGTTGTTTCTATGAGCAAGATACTTTACTCTCATTGCCCAGTACATGTTTGTTCCAGGAAATGTATTAAAGAGTGCTATAATAAGCTAATAACTTCAAACACAATCGAACTAAATTTGTGTAAACTAAATGTACATGATAATATTAAGTGTTGGAATGCTACTCATATGCCACTCAGTATAAGGCCAATATCATAAAAAGTTATTAAGTCTATGCCCATAAAATGGCTTGATAAAACCACAGAATTTGTTCAGTCCTACAATAAATGGAGCTGAATAAAAGTTGATGGCAAATCACTCAATAAAAATAGGTTTCTATCTTTGCCAGATTGATATCAAAACTATGGCAGGAAATAAGAAAAGATTGCAGGGGGGTGTATTGATTTAGTTTAGCTACGCTGGACTAATGTAATGTATTAGATTCCTGGTTCACAGGAAGTTATATGAAATATCAGAAACGTGTTTTTTTTG